TTGCTTTTTTATCAGTCACTACAAGAGCAGTGCCCTCATCTCTCCTGCTTTCATGTATGGGACTCTAATTTTAGTAACATTCTCTACTTTAGGGGCTTTTAGCAGAAAACCTGTGTGGCCATCATGGGTAATATCTAGCACATCTAAATCATGCTGTCATTAAAGAGAGAGCTCAACCAAATCACGGCACTAGAGAAAACTACAGAGTGGGACAAAAATACAATTTATTCTTTTATTTCCTGTAAAATGACAATACCAGATCTCCAGGCTTAGGGATGGCATAAGCAAAGGCCAAGAAAATAAGAGATGGGAGGACTAGAAAGACAGCAAGGCATCTTCTTCTTTTGATTTGAGACAGTAGGGAAACCAGTAAGGACTTTAACCCTGCTCCTACAGTGCAATGTGATGGGTGCCAGCAAGGAAAAACAGGAGCTATGTGATATCCAGGAATACCTGGATCTTCTCTATTTCCTATTTAGCATAAGTAATATTGATCCATTTAAAAATATCTTGACTTTGGAGAAGAACTATTGTACAACTGTCTGTACAATAAATGCAGGTGCAGTTTAAGTGGTGTAATTTCCTATTAGTTGCATTACATCATAAATATATACGTCATCCTAAGGATGTTTAACGGGCTGAAAACCTAAATTCACTCTTAGTTCTAAGAAAACCACCTGAGATAAAGATGCTGAAAACTCTGAGCCTATTCTTTCAGTACATTTGTTCACTATTATGAGGTTAGGGTTACTCTAATTCATCGATATCTTTACAAAGGCTTGGATTATTTTCATCCTGAAAATTACAAAATATGAGCCAGATATTGCTAATCTTTACTCTGACAGGCACCTTAGGGTGTGGATACACATAACAACTGAACTGTACCTAGATGTCACTGACTGGGAAATGGATCATAACCCACAATAGTTATAGTCGTGGGTACAGTGCTCTAGGATGCCAGGTAGAGCAGTCAACTTTTAGGCCCTAAAGTGCTGTGGCTCTGACACCACAAAGTGGGAGCGAGAAGCCAACCCAGCATGCCTGGCAGAGAGTGAATTGTGATGGAAGTGCTTGCACCCATGCTTTAGAGGTTCCAGGGGGTAGGTAACCTGTGGCTGGGGGTGCTGACACTTTTCTGCTTTCTCTTTTCACCCAAACACAAATTCAATAAAGTTCAGTAGCTTGCACTTAACCAAACTCTGTAGTCTGCTTGCCTGATTTGGGGTGTCTGGTGGTGGAGTGGGGAGGGGGAGGAGGGAAGAGAATGCCTGGGCCCATATTTTTGGGATCCCAGGGGTGGGGGATACATGAAGAGGGGCCCTGGTTGACTAAGGGGTAAGGATACAGCTGTTGTTAGAAAGAGCTTTTATGGAATAAGCAATGCAAGGAAGCTCATTGATAAAATGTGCCAACAAAGGGGAAAAGAAAAAAAAGGAGGCAGTAGGATTCTTGCCATAGAGCAGCCAGTTGCAGTAAAAGTTGGAGGGTGGCTTAGAAACAAAGCAGCGTACGATGCCTGAAGGACCAAGAAGACCGGTGTCACGGAACACTTGGCTTGCACGGGTAACATTGACCCTGGTGCACAGTGCACTGGTTCAGAGAAGTACTTGATTTCTAGGTAGACGTTTGAACCTTTAGGCTAAGTACAGAGGTTCAAAAAGCCCAAGGCAGAATTGATTCAATCTTTGCAGGATTGTCTAAGCTGTGTAGATTGGACTGATAGCAAACTGAACTGAACATTCAGCGTTCTGGTGGCCAAAGCAGGCAGAACCCCGCACTGGCCCAAGCCAAGAGCCTGGGGGTGCTCATGCCAGATAGACAGACACTGCCAAAGGCTGCTGAACCCAGCCGATTGGCAGCCCATACCTGCTGGGCTGCTGGAAAGCCCCAGCCCTGAGTCCTTGCCAGCCACCAGCCTCCCCAGGAAGCTGGGAGAATGCACCTCCTGGCCCAGCACCATACCCACCCCCCAGCGGGGGACTGCACGCCAAAGGGTGAAGCCCCTGTAGGGGAGCTTTTTCCTTGCCCACAGCCCAGCATGACCTTACCCTAGCCTTGCAAAGGGCCAGTAGCTGGCAAAGGAGCATGGTGTAGGCTTTCCCAGCCCAGCTTGCTAGGCTGTGGGCAGGAGAAAAGGTCCCCCATGGGGGCTTCCCTTACCATGCCATGCAGACCCCTTCTGGGGGGAGAAGGGAAGTACTAGGCCAGGGCAGGGGGTGTTTCCCCCCACTGTCCCCAGCCCCCCAACTCTCAGAGAGGCCAGCAGCTGGCAAGGGTGCAGAGCTGGGGCCTTCCCAGTCCAGCTCACTGGACTGTAAGTGGAGGGAAAGCCCCTCTGTGTGAGCTTCCTCTTCTCCCACCCCCCCCCAACAATGTGCAGACCCTTGCTGGGAGGCGGCTGGTGCCAGGCTGGGGCTGCATTCCCCCTCCTCTCAGACAGGCTGTCAGCTGGTGAGGGCATGGGGCTGGGGCTCTCTCAGCCTGGCTTACTGTGCTGCAAGAAGCAGAAAAGCACCCCCTGCAGGGACTCCTCCTGGTGCCATGAAGACCCCTGCTGGTGGGGGCCAGTGCTGTGGGGGTGCATTCCTCCCTCCCCCACCTGTCAGAAAGGCCGGTGGCTAATAAGGAGATAGGGCTGGGGCTTTTCCAGCTCAGGGGCTTGCTGGGTTTAGGGAGTTTCCTCCCCTGCACTGTGGAGACCCAGACTGGGTGGCCCGGGGCTCCCCGTCCCCCATTCCACCATCTGACAGGCAGAGGCAGGATGCAGGCTAGGGAGCAGAGGCCTTACTGCCTCAATGCTGTGACAGCTGTGGAAGGGGCTGGTCCTGTTCTACTGGAGCAGACATCACAGCCCAGGGTCCAATGCACCCTGGGATGTTGGAGGACTGTGAGGTAACTTGAGTCAGGAGGGGATCTGGGACACAAGTTCAATAGACTGATTTAACCTAAATCAGTCAAATGTGATACTATATCTGACCAGGCTTATTGTAAACTAGGTTCAGCTATTTTTGAAGCAGTTTATGTGCACTGAACTTCTGTTATAGTACAGGTTTGAATAGATTTCCAATCACTTATACTGGTTTATGTGTAGCTTTTGTCCCTAGCTGTAAGCAGCTTTTAAACTGATTTAACAAACTTGTACATTTGTCCACTTCTGGTTTAAACCACTTTTAAACCAGTTTTAGTGTCACACGTGGCCATACCCACTGTCTCATGAGTAAGAAGAACTCCTCAGAGAAAGGGATTTCATGTCAGTCTGTGTGCTGAGCTATTTAAAGAAACATGAGAAAAGAAGCATTCATCTAAAAATTGTTTTGTCTATTGCAACTTAGTGTGAAAAAAAATTAAATAAGCAATGAGTTAAGTAAAATAAAAACCAACTGCAAGCAAGTGAAAATGTTCCTTGTGAAAATATACTTCCTCCTCTTCACTTTCAAGGTTTCTATCTTCTTTTAGGGCCAGATTTTAAAGATGTTATTTTGGTTTAGAATTCCCATTACTTTCAGCAGGTCAAAGTCCTGTTCTCAGCCTTGGAAATTAGTCATAAGGCCTGATCCCAGTAAGCAATATTCCAGTAACATGACTGCATGTACCTAAAGCAATTCTTATCAATTTATTCTATAACCATATTAAAGCTTTCAAGTTTAGAAAAAACAGAAGCAGTTTACATTTCACTGTAACTCATGGATTGGCAAATTGATGCTCCATCACAGCCAAGACTTCAGTAGATACACTTAAGTCTTTTCCTTATTGTTTTTAAAGTGGTAGCTAATTTCTTCTTCAAGTGTTTTGATTCACGATTAAAAATTTAATTCACTTTCATATTTAAGGGAAATTAACTTTAAGAATATGCACTGCTTGCACAAGGGCACTAAAAAACTCAAATAAAGGCCTTGAGACTCTGCCTATTTGCTTTCCACTAATGAAATTCTTCTGGACTGAGGCTAGTACATTCATCATCACTGATTTGAAAATGCACCTATTATGTGCTACGTGCTTTACAGGCATAAAACACACAAGCCTTACCAATCACAGACAATATTTAAATGCAAGGCAGAGGAAGGAGGCAGCATGACTTAGAGGACTCAGCTCTTTTTAACAAATACTCCTTTAAACAGAGGACTATGAGTACTTTGATCTGCAGCAGTGACTCTTAGGGTTTTCACAGACCCCTGGAGTGCCATGAGACCCTTTTAAGGGTGCCATAGGGTGCTGTACAATAGCACTGTTAGGTGTGCAAATACCTACACAAGTTTCACAAGATAAACACAGAAATTTCAAATAGAAATCCATAATGACAAAAATATTCTGATCTGCTGTGGTCTTTCTGAGTTCTTTGCAATAGAAGAATAATTGCTTTATTATTTTTCCATAGTCCAAAAAGTGAGCAAGAGAGCTAAGAGCTGGCATTTTTCAGGGCTGCCTTGAGTCTAATAAAGTTGAGAACCACTGGTCTACAGGATAGCAGGGATTATTTTAGGCATGTTTGAAGACATGTCTTCATGGATTTGAAAGACAGTTTAGATAAGGATTTGAAATGAGTTCTTTATTACCTCATTTGCTTGTCTCCTTTCCCTTCTTCAAGTGAAAGTGCTGTTATTTCCTGAGCTTGGAATGCTGTCATCCTTGAAAGTAGCTCTAACAATGTACTCTCTTCTAAAAGGATAGTTTGATCCTCTAGACTAATGTCATGCTTTCAGAAGTTTGTTTTATGGGACTCAATATACACACAAAAGCCATGACATGGACAGCCAGGAGCACTAAATGCCTTGAACTCCAGACATTCTTCACAGTTTGTAAAATGAACATAGACCTGGGTCTTTGACTGTGCTTTAAACAGACCATGGCAAACAGAATCAAAATCAGATCTGTTTTGGTAATGTACCCAAGGATCACATGAAAATTAACTGTGTAAGTAATAAAGCAGTGTGGCAATAATATTCATAAGTTACTTGACTAATGCAGATGATTACTCTCGAATGCAGGCTTGAAAAACTTACCAGCAGGTGCTGTGGTAGTTTTCGGCGCTGGAAGTAAACTCCTGCGGGGAGTTGCTGTGCTGCTTAATCCCTGCAGTGTAGTTCTACTGGTCCCCTTGGGGATGTCTTTAGATGGCACAGCTGCCTTAGGAGTAGCTTGCTCTTCATTTCCAAAGCTTGAACCTGCAGGAGGTCAAAACTGCACTAATTATAATCTCATAAAAAATGTATGCAAGCTATAGTCTCTGCACTAAATTCATATTTGCAATTATAATGTCTAATAAAAGCCTATTTTCCCCCTAACTCAGTTGGGCTCCATTACACAGATTTTTTTCCTAGTGCAACTGGGAGTTCCCAATAACTCACTTAGATATCAAACTTTTCCCACCTAAGTCTTAGCTGCTGATCTGGCCTGAATATGATAACACTTAAGACTTATGGCTAGATTGAGAGAGTCACATGAGGCACCTGAAAAGGTATTTATTTAATTTTAGATGTTTAAATCAGAAAAAGCAGGAGATCCCAGCTCCAGCAGCTCCAAAGTGGATTAGGTGCCTACATTAATTAATTTATAGAGTCTCATCCATGCACAGAAATGCCCCACTCTGAGCAGTGAGTGTCACCTGCCTGTCATGATTTAGATGTGAGGAAAAGCAGTGCCTAAATTCTGCCTGTGTCTCCCAAGGGTCCTGACTGGTTGGGTGTGCCCCGAGTACCATGACCTCACATCAGTAGTATTGAATCAAGCAAGAAGCAAAGCAGCTATAATCACTTTAATTAAAAAATACAGGGAGAGGTGAGGCAGTTGTGGCATGGCTGCCCATTTCTAATTGTTAGAGCACTTGCCCAGAAAAAGGGGAGCCCTGGGCAGTAGTCCCTCCTCAGCCTGAAATGGTTCAAACCAGGGGTGACCAACCCCCAGGCCACAGTCTAGGTCAGGCTCCTGGTGCTGTCGTTCAGCCCACTGTGCTCCCCACAGGTCTAAAAATTTAGTGGCAGGGGAATGTGGCACTACCCTGCTGCCAAATTTCCAGATACGTGGGGTACCCTGCAAACCAGATAGTATAGCCTTGCATGCTGATTTGGGTGTGCAGGGTGGTACAGGGCCCAATCCCAGTGCTGTAGGGTGGTGAAGAGCCTGATCTCAGTACGGCCTGCTGGGCCAAAAGTATGGCCACCACTAGTTCAGACCAACATCTGAGCTAAGACTGGGGAGACCTGGGTTCTGGTCATCACACTCAGGATTATGCTGGATGTCCAGGGGTCTAGCCCTTACACAGACTCTTCTATAGCTTGATGATTATGGCACTCTCATAGGATGCTGAAGAAGGCCTAGAGACCAGATCTCGGCCTTGCAGGGTGAGATCTCTAACCTAGATAGCTATCCAAAATCTGGGCAGAAGTAGCCTCCCCCTTCCACAGGATTTTAAGAAGAGTGAGCCTTGCTCATATAGGCATTTATCTTTGGAGGATGAATCTGAACTCCAGATCCTGACTGGGTGGAAGCACTGAAGCTCCAGAGAGAGGCAGGAACTCAGATACACCCCTGGCTCAGCATTTCCTATTGACTATGTGTAGACAGCTCTCTGCTCAGTGTGCTGTTTGGAAGTGCTTAGCTCTCCTTATTGACTATATAGAAAACATAGTTGCCAGACTCCATTTCCTTGCATCCTTGCCATAGAGGGCCAGGCATTTATCTTACAATCATTACAACACCTCAGGTATCTTTTTGGATATCACCTTGAGTTTTTATTACTGTTGTGGGAATGATCCTGGTACTAAACACAACACCCAGTAATCAGTGTTTGTAGGATTTGACTGTTGGGCAAGACATGAGCTCCCTGACCCAGTAATAGTTTACTGCAATCAATTCTTCTGATAAGTTATACAAAAATGTGAATAATATGAAAAGAAAAAATCTGCCTTAATCAGCACATCTATTTCAATCATGTTCTTATGCTAAATCTAAGGTTTCCACGGTTTCCATTTTATGCTGACCTTTTTCAAAACCCTTTATATCTTCACTTGCTTTTCTGCATTTGCCACCTAAGGAATTATCCTATCCTATGCTCTTTGCAGATATAAGGAAATCAATTTCTCCCTACATATAAAAAAGCCAAGTTGACGTGTCTTCTTATCGATTAAACAGAAAGCCTAAGTGGAGTGAGAGATTACAGCATGTTTGGACTTGAACAGATGCAGGAGGATGAAGATTTTGCTTGAAAAATGAGCACAGACAGTGTCAAGAAGTATACAGAATTCCACAGAAAGACTATGATTTTTATTTTCATTATTTTAAAGCGATAGGAATACAATACTATTTAGGCACTGCCTGCAGGGAAACGATAACATTATTAAAAGAACTGGCATAGCAAACTCTTCAGGTTTTTTTTTAAAGATTTAAGCTTCTTAACCATGCATCTGAAGGGAGGCTTTTTTTGCCTTTCTTTCTTTTATATTAAGGTGAAAGCTTTAAAAAGAAAAGCACCTTTTCTGGTTAAAGAGCCTTGCAGGCTGCTGTCTCTTTAAGGCAGCTTGCATGCAGGTCTTAATGTGAAGCATTGTGCCTAAAGTCTACATGGATTTCTACAACTACATTTGACCTTTACTCAAATAATAAGCTACATGAAAAATTCAAACAATTTACTGTGCTCTGGGTGGAAGCAGAAAACCACAAGCATGTATCATTCTAACACTGCTCTGCACAGAATACCCCCTGAAACATTATATGGTTGTTTTGTTTCAGAATTACCAGAATTTCTCATGGGCTTTAAAAGATTATACACTGAATTCTTTACTAACAAACCTCTATTCGCTTTCAGTGGAGTTACACCAGCAAAAAAACCCCTGGTTCTATCTGTGTAATCTGTACTGCAATGCTGCATGTTAAAATTTTCTTGGATGCTAGGGATAATTTATAGGGCATGTGCTCATTTAAATTCATTAGCTACATGATGCTCAAATTATTTACTGTTCTTTGAAATGTGCTCACTTAGCTACTATGGACAGCATACTTACAGTCAAGGAAAAAAGGGATTTTGGCTATTTGTTTAAAGTTCAAATTATAGGAGTAGTTGCCTTCAAGAGGAAATATTACTTATTATTTACGGAAAAATACAGTTCAAATGTCTGTATATTGAAGCCTCATATGCCTATCTTTTATTCTCTTAGGTAAAATTTATTACACAGAGAACGTTTCAATTTAGCAATCTGGCTAGCTTCCAGCATGGAAGCAATTCTTCTGTTTGAAGTACGAGGTGTCAAGGGAAGTTATATAATCTCTTTTGAGAGATATCTTGCATTACAAAAAAAAGTCTTTTCAAGTTCTTTAGTATGAAGTGCAGTTGGCAACAAATACCCTTGCCCTTTGAAACACAGCAGAAACAGTCCAGTAATTAAAGAATGATTATCAGCTGAATGGCAAGCTAAAATGCGACCTGATCATAGATCAAGTACTTGCAAATACTCAGTATGTGCTGAATGCCATTGGACACATCCTATCACATATCCTGTGCATAGATAACAGAAGAAAAAAAGGAACAATCCTTTCAGAAAGAGTGTTTTCAAAGTAATATTTCCTATTCATCTTTTTGTAAGATATGGAAAGGCTGAAAGAACATTAGGTCAAATACCAACGTTTATGAATACAAGAGATGCCAAACCAAGGCTAATGCTAAACTTAAGACAATCCACTTCATCTTGCAGTTCTCCCAGGCATCTGGCATGAAGTGTGAGTACATCAAGATGTACCCCTCCTTTATAAGTATATGTAAATGTGTAAATTCCCAGTGCTGCTCCCACTGACAACACTGAAGCAAGTCAGGCCTCCATTCCACCAGTCACTTAAAGCAGAAGGACTAGTGGTCCAACTTACTATGCACTCATGCACACAGTTCTAATATTCAAAAGCAGAGATTAAATGAAAAGTGAGAAAAGCCTCATTCCTCACCTCCTCAGAGGAAAATAATACTTTTATTTTAATTCCATTCAGTTACTTATTCGTCTCTCAGGAAAATTACTGAAACTTGCTGACTTATCAATGACAATTTTCAGTTAATCATGAGATGGAGCTTTCACTTGCTGCCTACAGTGAGTGAATCAATAGTATTTGCTCTTCAAATCTGGATATTCCTTGGTATAAAGAAACACCAAGATGTTCAGTCAATGAAGAACACAGTCCATATGAGCACAGCAGTATAACCTGTTTTTCCCCATCCCTCTTGACTATTTTTGCCCTCAGTTGTTCTTCCAGGTGTAAAACTGAGATTCTGATTTCTGCTGTGAAGCACCCAGTATATCTTTTGGTTGCTCCTCAGTAAATAAATAAGGTGGTATCTTTAATTGCATATTAGAACACTAGACATGCCTTTCAGGAAGAGTCTATGTACCAAAAGGCTGCTAGGGCCAACAGTCTCTAGCTACATTTATATAAACTCCTTCCTACAAGTCATTGATACCTAAGAAATTCTAATTTCCTTTCTATGGAAAAACACATGGAAGATGAACAGTTTTCTATAATCTCACGAGCCATTTAGGGAGTCAGAGGTATCCCTTACCCACCCTCCAAATGAAATCAGGACCAAAATCCCATGGATTTCCAGCTAGATACACAGATTCATTATCTGTCTCTGCACTTCAGTCTTCTATTGGCAATGTGGTAGTACAGTTAGCAAACTAATTTGATTTCTGATTGCCTACACAAGCAATGAGAATTTTTGTCATATACCAGAAGTTCCATTTTTTATTAATTTTAGGGCTGTCAACTAATCACAGTTAACGTGCATGATTAATGCATTAATTGGTTCTTGCATTAATTTTTTAAACATGTTAATCATGGTTTTGGAGCCCATGCTTGGGCTCCACTCTGCCACTGCCAGGCCACGCAGTGGGGCAGCAGTGGCAGTGCAGAGGACTGCACGGCAGCCCAGGCACAGGCTCTGGACAGCTGCAGCAGGAGGAAGGAGTGTGTGCACGCAGACACAGACTCATACAAGCAGCCACAGCCTGCATGCTGAGTAGTGCCACGCTGGTAAGTATGTGGAGGGGGAAGGGCAGGGGGAGAGGGAAGGGTTCGGGGATGCAGATTGAGGCTCCCATGGCAAGGGAGGGAGTGGGGCAGGGCCAGGGGCAGGTCCTGGGGTGAATGCAGCCCTGGGGCCAGGGTGGGTCATGGGACGGACTGC